ATACATAAACATACACACACACACACACACACACACACACACACAAGTATTATGTATTATGAAGTATTTGTACAAAATAATAATTTGAAATGAAGAGATGATTGTATTTTAATAATTAAAGTTTATTTTCTTTACTTTATTATATTATATTATATAATACATTAATAATTACATACATTTTCAAATGTAGCTTGATGCTAATTGTACTTCTAATTATATTTTAGGATGTTGCCTATTCTTGTAAGCATTATAGATCATTTGTTTCCGGTGTAGAACCTTGTTTATCTTAATTTAATGCTGTATATTGAGCAGCGGATGATGTTAAATCCATTTACGAGATGCATATCTGAGGAAAAATGCATTGTTGGTCGGCGCCACCTAGCGTGCAGGCGTGAATTAGCAGAAGGTGAACAATCGTTTCGCTTTCGGTGTGAAAGCACCGTTCGTCGGCGATTCACCTCGCTTTTTCGAATCGCGCTCAGTGTGGAAAGGCCTTAACATTGTGTTAATAAACAGCTTTTTTTAATAAAACTTGTATTAATTTTATGTCCTCATAATTTTTTTGTACAGTGAAGACATTTTTTTTTCTTTTCTATATTTCTTCGTTTAGCGATCGTACTTGCACCGTCATCAATGTTGAAGGCGACGCCTACGGAGCAGGTCTTCTGCAGTATTTCGTGGATCGCACTTCCAGTAAAGAGGGGGCGGAGCTAAATAAGGTGCGAGTGGAGGAAGAAGACCCCGCCTCCAGGCCAGAAATTTCTCCGCTCATCGAAAAACAGGGAAGCCTTGAATTGGAAGAGGTGGCTGGACCTAAACCCTGTGAAAAGGAGTCCGTCATGTAGACTTGCACACTATTTTAACAAACTTTGCTTTTGACCTGTCTGATCTCAATAAATCAATCTCTGCATCTACGCAGTGACCATGGGAGAGATACAGGTTTAGATTAAGACCGGAGAAAGACTACATCCTTTTGACCCTCCTCTATGCCCTGCTCGTTATGAAAGGAGTCTGCCAAAAAAAAGCACATTTAGATGGAAAAATACTTGAACAATTATTTATTAGATGCTGGTCAGACATTTTGGATTTTTTCTTTATAGTCTTTTTTTATGTTTGCTTTACTCCTTTTTAAGAAAAACTCAGTCCGGCATTTTAAAATAATCGATATTATTATGATCAGGGCCCCGCGTCAGCTAAGGACGGCCCTGATTATGATCACACATGCCCTAATAGTTCTGATTATATGCTATTGAGTTAAAACTCAGATTTCTCTCAACACCTTTATAAAACATCTCCTAATAAGCCAAAGCATCCGCAGAATCTCTCTGCATCTTTCAAACACACCAACTACATTTTTTAGGTGGCTTTATGGTCCGTTATGCTGAAATACCTCATTCATGCTGATTCCCTTTATGCCACCTCTGGCTCCTCAGATGCAGGTCCATCTAACAGGTGCTAATACCTTCATTAACTCTTGCTACTAGAGGAGCCAAAAGAATGGTGTAAGAATCCTAACTGACATCTTACATTCTGCGTCTTTATCTTTATGCAGTCACCATTATATTTCACGGCGGGCTCTTCGGGGTCAAGTTGCACCCTAAGGTCAGACAGGAATGTAAGCACAATAATATATGGGTGACATGCAAAGTAAGCCTTGTCTTAAAGCTCCAAGGCTGTTTGGGTCAGAACCTTGAAGTCTGCAGGTAAAGGAAGTTCCCTATGTGCTGGTTGATACGCAAGTGGTGTAAACAGATCCATTTCAGAAGAAAGCCATAGATTAGAGCGTGAATTCAGACTGGAACCAAGGTTTTATATTTTGTATTTAAGTTAGAATAAGGCTAAGCAGCTTCCTTGTGTAGGAACATGTTAGATGTGTTGACATGTTTGGTTTCAGTTTGGGTTTCTCTCAATATCCTTTCTTTTTCTTCCTTTTTTTTTTGTTGTTTAAATGTACTTTTTGTTGGCTTAAATTGTGTACAAAAAATGCCCTTTTATGTAAATTATGAAGTATTCAATTTTGTTTGCTTTTTAAAAGCGTACTTCTGAGATCTTGTTGATTTTTTTTTTTCTATCTATGTTATTGCAGAAGAGCACAAATATAAAATGTCTGGCGTTTTGTGAAGGTAGATAACTTTATGAGGAGAAATCAGGCAAAATATTCTGTTAAGACCATTTACTGGTGAATGTTTGTTAACTAACTAGTAGTTGTACTGGATTACTTATTCAGATTTTTTTTATATATATATATATATATATATATATATTAGAAATGTTTTCTAAATGTATAATCTAAACACACCAGCTGAAGAAAAGTATCAGATGACAGGGTGAGAGACATTTGCCATTGTACTGTATGTTGACCAAATGTTCACCGAAGGAAGTCGACATAATAGCCCATTTTTGTAGAAATTGGTTTGACTCTGTTGATCAGTAAGTGGTTAAATCCGACCAAAGAAACATTTCTCATTTTAAATATTAATTTAGCAATATATATTATATACTTTAAATAGGGGGGGTTGGTGCTTGTAATCTGCATTATTAACAGTCTATCATTTCTGTTCTGTTCTGTTAGTGCTCGAGATGCATTTCAAATCACAGATGTATTTTTTTTTTTTTTTCAAATCTCACAAATGTTCTGACATCACTCCTTTAAAAGCCAGTACTGTAAAGGCTTCTCATTCCAGGTGGCTGTAGTGTAGCTGCTCTGCTGATGCAGCTATGTGTCTGTGTGTGAGTTTAATGGGTGGTTGTGTCATAAAGGGCTGCTTGATGGTATCAGTGGAGCCAAAGAGTACTGAGAACCAGTGAATGTACTCCACACCGACTGCAGAATAAAGTCTTTTTTTAACTAAATCAGCTGTGATGTTCTCTTTCTTATGAGTTGAAGTCGCTAAAATTAGGAATGCATTAGGTCCCAGAGGACTTTGCAATTAGGATAACTGAACCACTTGTTTGGTTTTCAGATTTCTTATCTATAGCAAGTTTATTTTACAGCCCTCTGGTGTACTGATTGGCTAATCGTGGCATTCTGTGGTTATATATTTTGTATAATGGTGATTTTTGCTGATTTCCTACATGGTTGTGCTAGTTTCACATCATACAACACTACAGGTGCATCTCAATAAATTAGAATGTCGTGGAAGAGTTCATTTATTTCAGTAATTCAACTCAAATTGTGAAACTCGTGTATTAAATAAATTCAATGCACACAGACTGAAGTAGTTTAAGTCTTTGGTTCTTTTAATTGTGATGATTTTGGCTCACATTTAACAAAAATTCCATGACATTCTAATTTATTGAGATGCACCTGTATATTCAACTCAAATTGAAATTTCATGACTCAAATTAAGTCAATGGTCTTTGGTAAGAAGCCATTTAATAAGCAAGATAATATATAGTCAGTGGTTATTACTGCAAAAATACACCACTTTAGGGTGATACAAAACTACTTAGTTTCACAAGATATCAGCTGACTTATCTCTGTTTGATTCATTCAGAATGGGTTGTCAAATACTGAAGACGTAAAATGTTTTGCTGTAAACAAAAGCAACATTTTTAAGGAGGCTTTGAAGATTTGCCCAGTAAAGATACTGAACAAACTGGGTAGGATATCAGTAACCAAGCCCAGCATGACGACTTCATGTCCTATTGCGCCACCTTGTGGTCTATTTACCATTTTCCTGTAACATTTGCAATGAAAACTCCAAATGTAATTCTGTGTGATGGTTTATTTCCAGACATCTGAAATACACTGACATATTAAGATACAGTTTGGTTTGTGTTATGCTGTTTGTTAAATATTTGGTGGTCATGATGTATGTACATAATGAACATTACAAAGTATATTTGTGAAACACCAAGACAAAGACAAAAAAAATAAATAAAATAAAAAAGTTACATTCAAAGAAAATTAAGGTCAAACAGCCTGACAGTCAAAAAAAAAAAAAAGTACACTTTTATTATCATGCAACATGGTGCAAAAATAATTTAAAAGAGTGCATAAAACAGTAGCTTCTTTTCACTGGCATTTTATGTAACCTTTTCCATTTCCACAGGAAAACCATTTCAGAATTTAAAAAAAAAAAAAAAAAAAAAACTTGTTAAAAGGACATTGCAGTCTCAGTGTACACCAGTGCCATAATATGTCAACAAAAACATCCTACACTCTACAAAGTTCATTGTGGTATAATAAAGACCATTAAGTTGAAATGCAGTTAAGTCCTTTCAAGGTTTTAATGAGCTGTCTTGGTTATTAAATGCTTCACTTGTGGGCCTACAAACATGAATCAGTTTTCCATACGCCAGCACTTACTGTAAATGATGCACTAATGCAATAGGTGATATAGGCTCTTTAAAACTGGTGTTTCTCTGGCAATCAGTTTAAAACTGTTAAATTTTGTTTAGTGTTTATTTGTTATTGAAACCGATATATTAATATTCATGTATAACAAAAAAAAGCTTTGACCTTTGAATGTGATTTTCTGGGATAATGCAGTGTGAAATATTACATACTTAGACATTGTTACATACAGTGTGATTAGACTACTTTTGAGACTCGTGACTCCCCAAACCACAACACACACATACAATAAATACAGAGTTCTGGCATGAAACGCAATCTGACCTAATGACATCATTATCTCATGGCACAGCTGATTGGTTCTCTCCTGTATTGGTAGCCAATTAGCTCACTGCTCAACATTCAAATATATGACTAGAGCTTGCCGTAGCAGTTGCAGCTTGCTTCAGAAACCATCCACCTTCCCCAGCTCCACCTGTATAGATCTGCTACGATGTATTCATGTATGCTGGGGGTTATTTCATGTATGTTATATTTGCAGCAGCAATATTTCTTACATGCTCACAGCAGCATGTTGTGGATGTATTGGCAGTAGCAAGTCTCGGTACTTGCTCTGCCGCAGCAGCGTAGCAGATCTATTCCGCCAAGACCAAATACATTAACATTGTCATGTACATTACCATGCCAATCCCTCCGAGAGTTGTCATGACAGAAATAAAATCGGCAAGAAATACTAACATTCAAGTTAACAAATACAGTTCAAAACCTTCAGTCTGATAGTATTACTCTACAAAGTTTAAAATGTCAGAAATGCAATAGAAATGCAGTGTTGCGTAATTGTGGCACATCAAGTTACTGCTTGCTACGATCCTAACGTACGATCCTCCTGTCCAGCCTTTTTTTGGCAGGGTTTGGATACTGAGGGTTCTCAATAACCCCTTCCCCAAACTTGAGTTCCAAGAAGGCACGGTGGTTGTTCGGACCATAAGCGGTGATGCCGGCAAACTGCATTGGCACCAGGGGCTGCAAAAAATGCTCTGGGAACTCCACGTCTTGTTTGTGCTCAGTCCAAGTGTCCCTGGTCATAACTCCATTGCGAGAGTAGAAGGGCCACAAGTCCACATGCAAATGGTTGGCTTCACTATACTGCACACGGTAGAAGTCACCCTCGACTGCTCGCTCCCACACGTAGCCGTTAGCATCCACCAGTGAGCCAGAGTCTAGGCTCTTTAGGTAGTCGCAATTCGGAACGTCCTCCAAGTAGATGCCCAAATCCACGTCGTAGTCCCAAGGGATTATGTCCTGGTGTCGGGCTGCTCCCAACAAGGAACCCCCTTCCAGCCAGTAACGTACGCCGGAGCTCTCCAAGATATTGATAACATATTTAGTGGTCTCTCGGAGGGCGCGCAAGCAGCAAGGTGGAGTCCAGCGCTCTATGTAGAGGTATTCAGGTGTGTCGTCAAGCACTGTGCCGAAACATCGTGGAGTCTCTTTACCGCAGCCAAACCACTGATGCTGACCATCAGCCAGCACCACGTGCTTCAGGCCGAAGCTACGCATGAGGTGATTGGTGGAGTCTTTCAGGCGACTGTCCGCCTTCCACTGGTTGTGCGCTGAGCTAAATAGCGGGCGATGACTTGCAGAGAACGAAGGTCCCTCCAGGAGCTTGACCTTCCAGCCACGCAGAGAAGTTTGGACAAACAAGGAAGACATGAGAGGGCGCCCTAAGGGAACTGAGAGATTGAAGAGGTCCTCTGTGCGGATAAGAACCACGGCATCTCCCTGCAGGGCTGTGCAGACGCTACCGCTGCTCCCTGAGGCCGCAGGGGTGTAGGTCGCAGTCCATTCCCGCAGATTCACACGAAGGTGCAGGCACTGCACCGCCGAGCGGGTCAGCACAGGGGCGGCAATGAGTCGGACCGGCCCGCCACCTACGCCTTCCAGTTCCCGAATGAGACGCTCAATTTGTCGGCCGTGGTCCAGCTCCATGCCATCTGGAACCAACAAAGCAAACTCCGTCTGCACATTGAACTCCGGACGGTGAGTTTGTGGAGGCTGGTCAGGGCTCGGTGACAATACCAGGAGGCGGGCTGCCTCTGGAAGAGCCAGAGGAGGGTACGGTGGACTTTCGGCTACAGCAAGGAAGGGCAACTCCGGTCTCTGGCGCAAAAAGGAGCGTGCAACATCACCAACATAGTTTTCAAAGTCTTCAAATTCACGAACGAGGATTGTGACGCGTGGACCACGCATGTTGCCCTCAAGGCCTCCCATTTTGGCGCCTCCAACCATACTTCCACCTACCAGATTACCCATAACTCCCAGTCCTGCCACAGGCAGAGAGGCCTTCTTTAAGCCTTTACTTTGTTCCCGACGCTTCTCCATCATCTGCTGCTGGGCCCGTGAGACATAATATAGGATAAGCAAATTCAAAATTATTGCTCCTGTTAACAGAGCCTGGCAAAAACTGATACGCATTATGGCTCTTGTGGTTAAACACTTTTATGATGCATACAGTAAGGGAAATCTTAAATAGAAAGAGGACAGAAAATCTTGACCTGAGAGTCATAACCTGTCCAAATTCCTGAAATCTTGAACATTATCATTTTGGTCTGGCCAAAAAGTAAGCAAAGTGGAAAGCGTTTGGGAGCTGGATATTTGATGAAGCATCTTCTTTGACCAGATCAGTTTCCGCTGATGTCTTCCTCTGTGTCAACTGATGTCATCCAGGAAAAAAAGACTGACGGACAGATTCCATATTTCGACCCAAGTGCCTTTAGTTCACCAGTCCATTAAATAAATGCTATACATGGAGACAAAACAAAGAACATTTCAATAAACAAATTCACTTTTAGCTCTTCAAAGTTTAAGGTAATTGTTTTGGAAATTCAGTTCAAGTTTGTATTGCAAAAAGCCTTTAAGTCCTCACTACTAAGTCTAGCAAACAAAGATGACCTAGAAATATATAGAGATGTTCCAAGCTACTGTCCCAGTTAGAGATGAGCTCTAGATTTGAGTATTTGAGAAACTATCATATGATCTCTTGAGATAGGTCCTCCAAATATAGAACATGCATGCAAAATTAAACCCAAACAAGCCTTCATCCATCGATTCATGTAGATCTATGCAGCCTCTGATCTTGAAAGCATACACATACAAAAACACACATCTTCATTATGCAAAACGGTAAAAACCACGATTGTGAGAACTAACATTTTAAGGTTGATTCAACATTCCTCGTCTGTACATTGTTTGCACGGTATTCTTGATATCCTTCCTCATTCTTAATTCGGAAATGAGCAAAGGAAGCCTGAGAGAAGATCACAATGTAGCAGGAAGCTCATACTACTGGGTCGCCTCGATCAATCCCATAGAAATAGAACGAGTGGGTAGAATGACACGTAAAGTGACACTTGTTTTCTCAAATGGGCGGGGCTTAGGGGTAACATGCGATGGGTGAAAAATATTTTTATTTTTAACGCTTCACCGTGTATTTTAAACTTGCTTATGATCTGATTAGATAATGTATTAATCATACAAAATATTTTAGATATTTTATATTGATTCATATAAAATACAATATTTATTTTAAAATGCTTTATCTGCAATTTTATATATATAAAAAAAAATAATTATAAATTAGAATATTAAGTTTCGCAACTGACAATATAGCGCATATAAAATAAATATGTATAGTAAAAAAGTATGCATGCCACTCTGAGAAGCGTCATGTGACCCCGTTTACTTTTCTCATCGCTAGTTAGGATGGACCAATCACAGCCATTCGTGATGCTAGGAGTCGTATTTAAAAAAAATATATATATATAGAGATTGCTGAAGTGGATTAAAATGTTGTAGGTCAGCAACAAATCTTTGTATTCAACAAATTTTAAAGATTACACGTTTTAGCAGTCGTACGTCTCCTATTAAACAAAAAACGTCTTGAAATTTGAATTGACCTCAATAGAGAATCAGGCTTTTGGAGCCGCGAACCGTCCCCTGCGGAAGCCAGCTTTATAACCCATAGGGAGCAGTTATGAGCTGGTAGCGTTTGCAGCCATTCCATAGTAGGAGTGGATCACTATTTGGCACTTTTCTGTGCGTGTGAGTACTCGTCTATCTGTCTGTATCGGCAGGAAAACGGGAGAGGGCTTCGGTGGAGACTTCAAGCAACGGGGTGGCTTATTCTTCTGTTTTTCCACCTCCTGGCTCCGGCGACAGCTCGAACGCTCTGATGGAGGCGGAAAGATCCGGCGGGGTGGCGGATGGAACGAATCCGAGCCCTGCAGGAAGCGGAGCGGGGCGCAATCCGAACGGGCCGAAGGCTATGCTCGGTCCCGCTCCCACCGCAGCAGCCGCCGCGGCGGCCGGGGCGATGGCTGGATCATCCCAGCCGCGAGATCCGCAGGACGGGGACGCGGGCCTCTCGTTGCCCGGGATCTTACATTTCATCCAGTATGAATGGAGCCGCTTTCAAGCCGAGAAATATCGCTGGGAGGCCGAACGAGACGAGCTGAGGGTAAAAAACGAGTTTTTTTTTTTTAAATCGCTTGTTTTGGTCTCTTCCAGACGGATTCCTTGAGGAAGAGC